AAAAAAGGGTAAATAAAATATTCACAGCATCATTGCAAATTGACCAGTTCTAAATATGTATAGCAGCACAATAATGGCAGTATTAAATAGGAATTTCGTTCACACCTTGTCAAGTTTGGTTTGAAGACAAACAGCTTTCGTCATTGTGCCTGAAGACGGCATATTTCGTTTTTATTTATAGTGTTTTTTCCTAATATTGTAGGTTAAAAATTTGCAAGCGCATACATACAGTCAGTCAATAAAGTTTAGGTACAGCGATTTTTTTTACAATACGGACAACTATTTTTTAAATATTTTATTTTTCTCTAATTTTTTATAAAAGTATCGTTAATTCTACAATAAAAAAAAAAAAAATAATCAGAGTTCTAAACCTTGTGTAAAATTAAAGAAAATTCTGTAAAAATGCATTCTAATATTGCACTTTTTATTTAGACTCTTTAGAAAAAAGTTGAGTTTTCAGTTTTTAGCGCATAAAATGTAAATAAAATGTAAAAAATTTGGATGTAAATTTGCCGAAAAAAAAATAGTGGCCGGTATTGCACTTTCTGCAATGCGCTTTTAAGGTCCTCTGCATAGATGAAAAGCATTTGTATGGCGAAAAGCATATACTGAGTTTGGGCAAAAAAAAAATATACACGAAGGCAGTTAAGGCCCGTCTACATACAGCTTTGGTCAAATTTATTTTCAAATTTTTAATCAAATTCGGGCAAGAGATATCTATTTCATGCAATTATTGATATGAAATATTAATTTATCTGTAGCTAGTATGTTTATTTAGTGGTCAAAGTATTCGCTGCGAAGCGTTCATTGTAGCAAGCACTGGCCAACGCAACACCAAAGTTGTTTGTGGACGAGCCTTAAAACATAAATGTAGTTTTGTGTGCAGAGGTTGGAAAGTTACTTTTTCCTAAAAGGACGGGCCAAGTTTAACTATCTCAATATTGTAAAGGAGAATGTTAAGAAAAGTTTTTCATTCTATCAAGACAACAATCTAAACACACCTCAATTGTAGAAAAGCTTTGGCTGATTCGCAACTGCTCCAACAACCATCGTTCGTAAAAGCTTTAGGGCCGGCTACTCAATGTCTGATTACCACTAACTACAGGTTAAACATCGTTAGCGACGTTACCGACTGCCTGTTATATGTTAGGAGGCCATCTCATCGATAACGATGTTTAACCTGCAGTTAGGACCGGTTGCTCAATGTCTGATTAGCACTAATCGGAGGTAGAAGCTCCGGTTAAATACAACGATTGCTTTATCGATCACATATTATATCGATCACATGTTATATCGATAAAGCAGTCTGATTCTTTATTTAATGAGAGGTGTAAAGTAGGGCTGCTTGTGATCTAAACAAATGCTCAACTGACGAACCCGCTTTCGCAATCTTTTTTCTCAAACCCAGTTACAAATACAACGTCGCGCTCTTGCGTGATCTTGTATTGTCGGTTCACGAGTTTTAACCAGACATTAGGTCCACTTCTTATATTTTCTGACTAAAATCTAAAGTGTCAAAATGCACGAGCATAAGCAAAATGCGCTCACTAGAAGAGAATAACAGGAAAAAGTAAAGGAACACATAACACCAAATTTTTAGTCCAAAGAATGGCAACAACAAAACTTATGTCAAATAATAGTCCAGTTATGCATACTTAGCGTTGCATGAGAGTTGTCACATAAGAATCTGTTAAATAGGTTTTGCGTGAAAGCGGTTACCCAGCGCATAGCACTTAACATGTAGAATTCGGTTGGGTTTTGACTTTTACGTAAAAATGGTATAGCAGTGCAAGTATGCACAACTGGGCTCTAAAGGCTCCGTTATGCATACTTAGCGTTGCATGAGAGCTGTCACATAAGAATCTGTTAAATAGGTTTTGCGTGGAAGCGGTTACCCAACGCATAGCACTTAACATGTAGAATTCTGTTGAGTTTTGACTTTTACGTAAAAATGGTATAGCAGTGCAAGCATGCACAACTGGGCTCTAAGAATAGAAATGTATGTACAAAACACATTCACACAAGCACAGGCACAATAAACACTTATTATATCAATTATTTTTTGCCTCCTTCCTTTTATTAATTCACTCTTTTTAGTTTTTAGACTATTCTCACTTTTCGTGTACTCTTCAATTTCCGTTAATTTCAATTCAGTTGAGTTTGACACTTTTCAAGATCAGTTTAGAGAATAAATTGAATATGGCACAGGTTTTAAAATTTATCTGCCCTTCAAACACATTTTTTTTTTCAGAAACAAATTTGTGCTTAAAGGGCAGATAAATTTTAAAACCCACTTGAGGAACCGGCTCTTAAGAATGTATTCAGTAAAAACTTGCAACTTTCCAAAAAAATCAACTATCTCACGTGAAAACTGGTTTTTACGATAAACTGTTAATTTGCAGTAATTATATTTACACTCGCGCCTTAAAATGACTACCATTATGAGAATTTTCAAGTTGAAATTAACGAGACAAAACTGTCCAAACATTCCTTTTCTCATGTTACCTTAGGAAATTGCTTATGAAAAGCTTTGGTAACCATTCATCTTACATTTTCCGTTTCTTGATTTGGAGAATAAATCAGTGAGCTGTTCGTAATAATTAAATTTTTTTCCGAAATTTTTGCAAATTGTTCGTTCGCGCGCTTTGGACATTTTTTATCTTTGAGAGAAAGTCGTAGTACTTTAATCTCCAACAATTTGCTGAAGGATAGTGATTACTGAAAAACTAGGCGATTGGATCCGATATTAAAAAATTTGTATTTACAAACTTTGGCATTGGCCCCAAATGTCCGGTCTCTAATCTTCGCTGCTGAATTGATAAGCGTAGTAGCGTTTGTGGATGGACGTTTATGTATGTAAGGTTAGTTAAGCTTGGCTATGATCTTAATGGACCCCTCACATTGAAGAAAGTGGATTGTGGAATGTCTGAGTTATAGAAAATTAAGAAAATTAATTCGTGTAAAAAAATGTGGGTTGCACATATGATTTATCATAAAAAATTAATACACCTGCTTTCGTTTATGGATTCATTATTACATCTCTGTAAGAAAAAGTTGCAATCATAACCGCAGGGGTGCACAAATATTTTAAATATCACCTTCGATGTGCATTTTCAGCAAGGTTGTGCCAGTGTAGCAAATACAAGCTTTGCAAATTCCCATCAGTGTTGCTTTTATTATGTGCCTTAAAAATGCATGTGAAAAAGTAAAGTCGGAATTTTTATGCTCTCACCCCAAAGAACATATTCCCAATTTTTTTTTTATTTTGAAATCAAAAAATATTTAGAGGTCGCTCAAAGCGCCCAAAGGTTTCCAGGTATTTTACATGGGGAAAAAGCAATTTTTCGTAGAAATGGTATAGAATTCTTAAAAACCACTATTTTTCTATCGAAAACCCCTGTTTATCTGCAGAAGATTCCCAGTAATAGTAATAAGCAATTGTTTATTTAACCGTTTTTTCATCGCAACTATAATTTATAGGTCCGCCAAAAACCCACAAAAACTCCGAAAAATGCGATGAGGAGACCAATAAAAAAACGTTAGTATTAAAAAATGGTTAAATAAACAATTGGGTATTATAATTGGAAATCTCCTGCAGACAAACAGGATTTTCCGATAAAAAAATAACGAGTTTTAAAAATTCAATACCAAGGGTACTTTTTTCGATATAGAACAATCTTAGGGGGTGAGCATTACAATTCCGATTTTACTGTTTTTGGACCACCCTAGTGTACATAAGTATGTATTCAATAACAGCTGTATAACAATTCTACTGGAAAACCGATTCTTACCAAACTTGGAAACCTGTGTAATATTTCCAAATATATAGTTACAAAAATGAATATTCAAAATTGGGGATTATGAAAATAGCTAACAATTTGTTTTTTTTTTTAACTAATGTATGTACAAAACTTCAGAGACTAATAGCCAGTTTGGCCAGCAATTTAAATGGAAAATAATTTTTAATTTTTTGCAAATCTGCATATAAAATACAAAGAACTAAAATCATTTTCCACATAAATCGCTTTCGTGAAACGGGCTATAAAATAATATTTCATAAAATGCATGCAGAGGCAAAAAAATAATAAATAATACAAACAAAAACTTGGAAGAACACTTTCAACGTTATTTAGATTTATTTGCGTAATATTTTTTTTATGTACGTTTTACTAGAACAAAACTATTAATAATCATAATTATTTAATATGGTTGTATTAATTTATTTAAAATAATTCTAATAAATTTTTCTTTTAAAGTTAACATAACATATAATTATTGTAGGTTTAAGCTTTATTTAAGTATTTGCTTTTAGCGTAGCTATTTATTTTATTTTACTTTTTTGTCATTTTCATATGGATTTCACCGACGCCATCGTAGTCCAATTTTTGTGAGTACCATGAAAATGCAATCACTGAACCCGAATTGCTGCGATCGTACATATGTTTTGAAAGTATTTGCTACGTTCGTAGCTATTCGAATTTCGATAAATCGGACTATCGATTATTGCAACAGAAAAGTCAAAGGGGCAATATATTTTTGCCTTCATATTGTTTTGTTGCGGCTAACCAGCTAATTTGAAAAAATAAAATAAATAAATAAATTATACACACATTTTTACATACGTATGAATGTAGGTAGACACTGCGATCTACAGCATACCACAATATACATATCGATGTATGTACATATGTGCATATTTGGCTCTTGAGCTAAAAAGAAGTTACGGATTAAAATTGGAATCCTCATTATATGAATTTCTCATTATATATTAATTTATTTTTGCCTCTAAATAAACCGATATAACTAGCCTGAAGTTAACGTTTTTGTAGAGATGCGGAACTAAAACATATGACCCTCAAAATCATTTTAAGAAAAGTTTATTGTATGGGCTGTGTATTGCAGTTATAAGAAAGTTTAAGAGATCACTGAACAGAAAAAATCCAATTACTTTCTAAAGTTTCCATCGTATGACTCCAAGCTAGCAAATATTTTCTTTGTTTGTCTCAAAGAAAGAGTATCTCTCTAAAAAAAAAACAGAAATATATTTAATAAAATAAAAGGGGTTAACAGTCTTATTTGTTTGTTTCATTTGTTATTATGCTTAAACAGCATTAGCAAAATGTTTACGCAGCGAACTATACACTTGGCGGTATATACTTTGATGATGAATGTTCTATTTATTAATTGCTGTTAAAGAGATATTGCTTAGGTAATATATGCGATGCATGTACATACAATAATGTGAATGTACGTTTAATTACTTTACACATGATTTGAATATTCTTTTGTGTCAAGAACGAGAGCTAAGTATTAGAATAGCAGAATGAATGCATAAATAACAGACTTTAAGCCAAACAGTGTTGGACACTGGCAGCGGAGTGTACACTATCCAAAAATAATTTTAACAACTTTATAGAAAATTTTAGGAAAAAACACGCGAAATGTTCACAATAGTATGATATACATATACATATAAGTATGTATATGTGTGTAAATACGTACATAATATGTACCTATAAATGAAACGTACATTAAAGTATGCAAATTAGAAGGGAGTACGATATGCCTAGCATGCAAATCTTGAAAGATAAGTATATCTACAAAAGGATTATATGTAGAGTAATGATTTCTGAATCAAAATTTTTCGCTGCCAATGCTCAACGAACGACTCATACTTATATTTGTTCGTAATTCCTTTTGCAGCATAACATTAAAATATGAATATGTATGTATCGTAAATTAATTGCTACTTATTTATCTTTGGAGGTTTGTTCATAAAAAATAAAACTAGATCAAACAAAAAATTAAAATAAAAAATAACAGGGGTTTCTTGGCTAAACGTCTGAAAACTTGTAAAACGAGTGTAATATATGTATATTTTATTAGGCAAATTTGGACCAATATAACTGATTTTCTTTTTTAATTAGAACCGTTATTTTTGCATAATTTAAACAATTTTGGTTGATTCAAAAAGTACACTTGATCCTTTTGTGCAACGAGGCTTAATGCTTTTTGTAAGCATTTTTTTACTTCATGTTTCATTACATTATTTAAGAGCATGTTTTCAAAAAAGCAATGTAGAAGCAGTTTTAGTGCTTGATGGCGGTCTATTTTCAATCTAAAAATCTTATTTTTAAGATGTCAATAATTTACTGACAAATAGATTTGTACAAATAAGTATATCTGTAGCTACCCAGCAAAAATATAGCAGCGCTTCCAAAGGCAATGGAATGAAGATATATTTTTTGCTTCTTTTTTATTCATTGGTATTACCATCAAAGATATGGCCATGTTAAATCAATATACGAAAGAAATGATAGCAAAGGGATTGATTTATTTTTTCACCATTCCATGTTCACTTCTGCGATCAGAAAGTTTTTTGCTGGATATTTGATAACCATAAAAAATATGATATAGATATATTTTCGATTATTTATTCAAGTGTCGTTCTCAGGAATGTTAGTTAACACTAGCACTAAAAGGATCAAATATACTTAATGCAAAATTAATTATGCAAATCAAACTGCAGATTTTAGAATTATTTGCTTTATACAATTTGAAGCATCTTAATCCATTTAACGCATTTAAACCACAAATGCCTTCGTGAAAAAAATTATGTTTTTGTTTAGATAGAGCACTTTTACATTCTTACATAAAATATATATTTTGGAATAAATATGCATGTGTATAATAGCACGTAAACATTCATAGTTCAAATCAAAAAAACTTCAACTTAACAGATAAACATTGTTAAATACGAGCTAACTAAACAATAATAAATAATAATGTGAAATTTGTATGGGCGCATTTAGTGTGTATATGTATGAGTGTATAATAAATAGATAATACAGCAACTATTTACAGAAAGGTTTATAAAAAGGTTTGTGTGTTTCATTTGATCAAACAAAACTATGCCTCCCTCTCAAGATAACTACCAACAAGAATAACAAACAACCAATCACACCTTTTGGAATTAGAAACTCTGAGGAAGTTTTGTGGATTTTATAAATTTTTTTTAGTACCTTTTACATAGATTTTGATCACATTATAAATTTTAGTGCAACAAAAAATAATCAATTGGTACTTTTAATTAAACTTCATGCTCTTTTCTCGTTTGAGATCACATACGAACTAATGAAACTCATAAATAGCAGTAGTAAGTTCAGTTAAATTCATTGTCATGTACGCCATTTACGCCAAATTTAGTGTTAGTACTACAGACCGGGTAAATTCGTTTACTATCGATTTTAACTTTTCACGCCGATTGGTTGTTTGAAATTTTTTATATTTTGGTTGGGTTACTTGCGATGCGCGTTAAAAAATCTAGAATAAGCTACTTATTATTTATACCTCTGTATCGTCATCGTCGGTATTTTGATGACGGCCATTCGTCGAATTTCGGTTGTGCTGTTTTCGCGGATCGAAAGCATCCACTACAATTTGTTCGGTGCCCTTGATTTCAGCACGGCAGAACGGACAACCCTGCAATTAAGCAAAAAAGTATCAATTAATATCAAGTAGGACCATCAATGCAAATGAATAAAAACTTGAAATTTTATTGTACAAGCAAAATACTAATAAATCTCGTATCTATACATAGTATAAAGGAAAGTCGAGATTTTTTGTACGCGGTAATCTCGAAAACTACTGAACGGATTTTGACGAGATGTTCTCTAATATACTCTGTATCGACAGGAGAGGGATCTTCTTTTACTTCGAATTTTAATAGGGTGGCCACCTGTCTAAAAAACTATAAGATCCGCACCGTTCGTTGGATTACAAAAGATGAGGTGTCAAATGAACTGGATTGGCCTCTAGAAAAGCACTAATATTTTTTTAATAGGGTTGCCACCTGTTAATAAAATTACCATATTCAATCATAATAAGCGTAAGCATCAGTTCTGCACCGTCACTGTCAAACGAAAAGGCTTAGCCTCTAAATGCGCAATAATGTATTTGTTTTCTGAGTAGGGTTGACACCTATTAAAAAGTTAAAATATTTTCGCCGTTCGTTGGAGTATGTACAAAAACTTTATTTTTTTAAGTAGGGTTGCCGCCTATTTAAACATACTATTTTCTATACTTAGTATAAAGGAAAGTTGATATATTTTGACCACGCCACTGAACGGATTTAGACGAAATTTTGTATGTATAATCTGTATCGATAGAAATTTTATCTTTAGTACGTTGAGTTTCTATACGGTTGCCACCTGTATAAAAAATTATAAGACCCGCACTGTTCGTTGGATTATCAGAGATGAGGTGTCAAATAAAATGGCTCGGCTAAGTGCCAATAATGTATTACTTTTTGAGTAGGTTTGCCACCTATTTAAAAATTACTGTTTCACTCGAACATGGTATGAATACAAAAAGGGAGATGTGAAGTGAAAAGGCTTGGCCTCAAGATAATCTATTATTTTTGAGTAGGGTTGCCACCTTTCTAAAAATAATAAGATTTAAAAAGTTCATTGGACTAAAAAATAAGGTATCAAGTGAGGGAATATGGTCTCCGGATAAGCTTTTATTTTTTTAAAGGGGCTGCCACCTATTTAAAAATTAATATCTAACATATAATTTGTGAAGGCGCTCTTTCTCCAAAATAGTGTTTTTTTTTTTTGTTAGGTGCTATATTCAAAAAAAGCGTAAGGAGCTGATGCTTTTTTTGTTTGCATATGAGAGCGTGTATGTACATAGACTACATTTGTTGGGCTTTCAGTGAGAGACAGAATTTACAAATCAGCTGTGCCTACTTTGATGTTTTTATTTCATTAGGTTCACGTACATATATACAAGTAAAATACTTATCCTCATGATGTGTAGTAATGTATTATTTTTCTGAGTAGGGGTGCCACCTGTTTAAAAACTACAAGATCTTCACCAACCATTGGATAAAAAAATGAGATACCAAATGAAAATGCGTGGCCTTTGCATGTACAAAAGCTTTAAGTTTTTTGGGTAGATTTGCCATCTTTTTAAAATTACTATCTTCTATACATAGTATAAAGGAAATGCGAGATATTTTAACAACACTTGTAAATATAGTTCAAAAGACGACTTATATTGCCATAATGCTGAATTTACACTACGCTTTGAAAAACTATGTACACACATATATGTATTTCTCTTATGACCTACATAATCTTTACGTTTGTTAAGTTGACCTAGTTAAAATTTATTTGTATAACACTGTGGCTTAACCAATTTCTTACCTGTCCTTCTGAGTCGACTTGCCAAGATGTGAGGCACGGCGTGCATAGTAGATGCCCGCAAGGCTCAATGCGGATATCCTTATCATTCTCCGCACATATTTTACACAATTGAAATGTGCTACCTGTTGGATCGAAATTTTTTTAGTTGGGTTTGTTACCTAGCGTTTCTTCTTTATATATGTATATAACATACCCATTTCGCAGTATAGCTCATATTGTTCTTGTGTAACTGTAATATGATCTTCCGTAGGACTCTGCACTGCCGATGATAGATCGGGGTTACAAGCTTGACCATCCGGGTACAAATAAAACCCCTCCCTATAATAAATTACATATTGCATCCAAATAGGGATTATTTCGAAAATGTAACGAAAATGGAAACCCACCTGTGACCATCTAACAATGCTTGACACAATGATTTGTTTTGCGGTATGGTTTGCAATATTTCACCATCGGCGGTAACGTACCCTATCGCCCACTGCCCGAGGCGAGTACATGATAATCTGCATAAATAAATGTTAGTGATACATATCAATAAAATAGAATATTAATAACCTACCTGAACACATAGCTACCAGCCTTGTGGATGTAACGCTGCAATCGCGCTTTAACTTCGTCGTAAGTCAGAAACGCTACATATCCAGGGTGTGTGACAGCCAATATTTGCCAATTACGTAGCAGCGTTACCCACGGTTGAAAGAGTCTCGTAAACACGTCAAATTCAAAATTTGAAATATAATCGTTGCACGTTAAATCTATTGTGGTTTTTAGGGCCATTGCTTCTAGACCAGATGATATAGGATGTACTTTGTTCAACTCTTGTCGAAAGATTTTCCATGGGACCAAAGTACTGGAAGCATTTATCAAATTTAAATTTATAACAGAAGTTAAAGAGTGAACTATTATTTCAGTAGAAATCTAGTAGTATCATTTTAACTCTTGGCGAAAGATATTCCATGGGTCCATAGTACTGGAAGCATTTATCAAATTTAAATTTAATAACACAAGTTAAAGATTGAAATATTATTTCAATTTAGTATTAATTCTTACCTAATTTCAAAAGGAAATTTATACAAAAAAAAAAATATTTTTTTAAATGATGTGATCACTTAAATACGCTCTGTTTTGGGAATCATGCTGTCGTTATAGTTATTTTTTTATGTGTTATTTTGTGTACCCGTAGTTTTGGTCAGTTTATTTTCTTTTGGAAAGTTTGGAAAACCTTTGTAATAATAATAATGATAGATTGGCGCTAACACATTCACATGTTAGGGTTTGGCCAAGCTGCTCCTTAGAAATCCTTAGAGCCAACGTTAAAATCGGTACATAGGGAAATAATCGCATTAACAAGCAAAGTAAGAATTGTAATGGTCTTATTTTTGTTTTACAATGAGAATTTCTAACTTATTTCCTTTAATTTGAATGGACAAACCTTTGTAGTTGGAAATGTTTCATGTATACTGTTTTTTACCTGTTTCCAAAGTTGAGCTTCCAAAACTCAGCAGCATCTGCCTTTGTAATTCGAAATTGATCACCGGCAAATACTCCATTAGGGAATATCGCCTTCAGTTCGCTAAGCATGTGCGAAAAAACTAAACTAAGCTTAGTCAAGTTTCTTCGATAATGTGAGTTCTCATCAAACATTTTCTCCTTTCCTTCCTTAAACAATTTGATGGCCTGTTTGCACTTGCGCATCAGGTTGTTAATGAAAACATTGAAGTGTTCATTGGCATGTAAGACATGCATCTGATCCTCATTCTTCGAGTATATGAGACGCAATCGCTGATACGTGTCGGGCAGTATGTCCAATATGAAGGGGGGACTATTTTTTAAATTCATTTTGGGCTGCTGACACAGCTTTACAACTTTGTCCATTAACTTCCATGTTTTCTCTAACGTTTTCTTATCAGTGGATAACCGCTGCTGTGTACATGCTTCGGAGAACGCACCTTGTATTTTGGAGAAGAACGAATTTATATTCTTCGTTTGCTGTATGCGACTAGTGCGACTCGTCGCCATCTTTTCACATTTGACTTTCCGGGGTCGGGGTCGGGGTTGGGGCGCTGAACTGCCTCAGCCGCGACGCTGACGTTGCTCACAATAGCTGCAGACGGGTGTTTCTTCTTCTTCCGCTGCCTCTGCTATTGCGGACTGCTTCCTTTCTTGCAATTGCTCCAACCAATTTCACTAATTTCAGCTTTCTCCAACTCCAAATACAATCTATAGTTTCACATTCGCCCTTTGCTCACTATATGGGGCGAATTTTGAAGCCCAATTATTCCTTTTTGTCGATTTATAACACGAAAATCAAAAAACGTCGCCTTTTGCTCTTGGCAAAGAATATGAGTCTGATTTTTCAATGAAAAACAATTACCATTGCTGCATATCAGCTAGCTCTATCTGTGCTCTTTTATCACATTCGATTTTAAGGAGAAGCAAAAGTTGCAAAACAGAGAAAACCACAGATCACTCAGAGTTGCACTTGTGAAAGAAGGGTTGCTATAACTATAGCTGCAATTTGCAATCCGAAAGAAAAATTGCAGTTGGTAACGCGACACAAAGACAGTGTTCGTTTTTATACCCGAGCGCACGTGTGCACAAGGGTATTATAACTTTGTTCACATAACGGTTATTTGTAACAGGCAAAACGAATCGAGATAGATATAGACAAATTTACAAATAAATGATCAGAGAGAAAAGATAAATCGATTAAGCGGTAACTGTCTCTCTGTCCGTCCGTCTACGCACACGATAACTCGAGTAAAAATTGAGATATCTTAACAAAACTTGGTACGTGCACTTCTTTTGGACGTAGGACGGATGGTATTGAAAATGGGCGAAATCGGACAATAACCACGCCTACCCCCCATATAACGGTAATTTTCGGAAATACGAAAACTGCGATATTTTAGTAACAGCTGGAGATAATTCACTCAAAACTGATATTTACAATGATTTTTAGACGAAAAATAAGAGTATTAAACATTTTTGGAAAATGGGCGTAGCCACGCCCACTTATGGTTACATGTGTATATCTTGGTAACCGCTGCACCAATTTCTTCCAAACTTGGCACAGTTGTTGGTCCTGGTACAGCATACTAAATTCGGACAATAACCACGCCCACATCCCATATAACGGTAATTTAGAGAAATTCGAAATCCTCGATAAATCAGTAAATATTAAAGCTAATTTATTCAAATTTGATGGTTGCAACAATTCTTTACCAAGAAATACGTTTATGATAAAATTTTGGAAAATGGGCATGGCACCGCCCACTTATGATCACATATATGTATCTCGCTAACCGTTCTGGCAATTTGTACCAAATATGAGTTGCGATCCCGTACGAGTCCGGACTAGTCAGAAATAGTCAGAATCAGTCAGATTTTACTGGAAATCAATCCCGTACTCGGTTGTCTGACTATTAAGAGACAAAAAAGAGTATATACGGTTCTCTCTCTGTCAGAAGTTACCAGTTTTAGTCCGAGAATTTTTTGCTGGTAAATTCTGGTAAATGTGTCAAACGATCAGCTGTAGTGTGTTTGGCAACCAAACTGTAAACAAAAGAAAAGTGCACTCTGCTAATTTATGTTGAAAAGTATTTAATTACTCGTTTAAGTGGATTTTAATGAATTTGAAAGTATTTTTGGTTATTTACATGTGTGAGCTGAGTGTGTTTACATACAAAATAAGCAAAAATTTAAAACCAAAATTTGGAGGTTATGTTGAAGTTGACAGAAGTTACCATTTTTTACTAGAAAGCGATCCCGTACTTTTCAATGTTACTCTCTCGCTCTGTGCGAATTTTTATTTTTTGACAGTTTTACTAGTCCGAGTCCGAGGAATACGGGATTGCACCTATGGTTATTCTGCTTGCCATTCAAAAGCAAACCGTTGAAAATTATTGAAATCGGACTGAAATTGCGGCCGCTTTTCATATAACGGTAAATTTCAGAAATGCTTGAAATTTCAATATTTCGATATTTAAGGACACTAATTTACTCAAAATTTTACACCCTGGCTTATCATGTAGCGGTAGCTTTCGGAAAGGTCGAAAATATATATGTAATACTTGCGCCGGGTATTTAATGTTCGGCTCCGCCCGAAGTCAGACTTTCTTACTTGTTTATTTATTATTTTTCGTGACAACCAACAATTTGAAAACTGTGCGCGAGCAATTAATTGGAAAATTTCACTAACTGCCGCACTCAGAAACACTCGTGAGATTAGCTTTAAAGGGCACCTAACTAATGATCTCGTTAAATCTGCTAATTAATGTTTCCTCATTATAAGGGCTCATTAGTAATTTAATTAGGGGATTCCCTTAAACTCGTCAAGTCTTAAACCGTGTAAAACTGGTAAGTTTATGAGGCTTTTATGGGAACGCCCCCTTTGCAAACAGGTGTAAATAGGTGCGTAAAGTATTTTCCATAACATCCCGCCATCATGTCTCTATCAGTCTTGGCTAAAATACAATGAACAATGCCTAAAAAAGTCGATACAGTAAGTGGATGAAATTCATTTATTCATTCAAAAACTCATAAATCTACAAAACCGTATTTTTTAACCTAAATCGACAAATCGCGACCTCTAAATGACCTTTAAAATATCTATAAAAATAGGCAATAATATTTCTCATAAAAACGAATAAGATTAGAGGGTAGGGTCTTCAAAATTCCAAAAAAAAAACATTTTCGATGAGCACCCTAATATTATGTGCGTATGCACATAAGCAAATTTTTTTTGTAGCTGTGTTTGAAAATATATTATGGGAGTTCAAGATTTGAAGCACCTTACATGTTTTTTTATCCCATTTGGCCATAATGCGTGGTTTGGTTGAAATAAAGTGCGCCAGATAGTTTGACGAATATTTGAGACCATGCTGTGACAGAACTGTTTGAAAGTGAGCAGTCAAATCAACAGAACAGAAAATCCAAAAAAGACTTTTCAGCTATCCTAGAGGTTAACTCTTGATATTGGCGCAGTAAAGCTAAGCGTCAAAAGTTAAAAAAAAATGCTTTCCCAGCACAACACCAGCAGTTTTTTAATGTATTTTTTACTTTTTCAAACACTGTTTAGTACTATAGTAGAGTTTAATTTTATTTGCCAAAAGATTAAATTTATTTGCCAAAAGATTAGTTTTATTTGCCAAAAGATTAAATTTAATTGCCAAAAGATTAAATTTATTTGCCAAAAGATTAATTTTATTTGCCAAAAGTTTAACTTAATGTGTCAATGCTATATAACAAATATTACAATAGATTGGCGCTTACACATATGTTAGTGTTTGGCCGAGCTTCTCCTCCGACTTGTGGTGTGCTCCTTGATGTTGTCACACAAAGCGGAGGGACCTACAGTTTTACGCCAACTCCGAACGACGATTGCACTTTTATGAGAAGCTGTTTTTCATGGCAGAATTACACTCGGAGGATTGCCATTGCCTACCGAGGGACGACCGCTGTTAAGAAAAAACCTTCTATATTTTTTTGCAATGTTGCTTTGACCAGGGCTTGAACCCAGGCGTTGTGGAGTTTAAGCGCGCACTGCTTACCACTACACCACAGCGGCCGACAAATATTACAAAGTCCACATTTATTCATTAAAAGTATAGATAGCGTTAAGTTAATTTTCTTTCACAGTTATTTTAATTTTTCTTTTAATCTGGGTGCAATATAGAGTAAGAGGAGAAGCGAAACTTACTTTACATGTCTATGGTGTTTGTCTCATAATCAATATACATTTCGACAGCAAAATCGATAAAAATATCGATAATAAAACCGATAAAAATATCGAATATAATATGGATAAGCTCCGAGCATCCCTAACTGCCCTATAATCCCGAAATAATTCCCAAATTGAGTCCCGGTGTCTGTGTAGTTTCTATGCCGAACCCTTCTACATCCTCATTTATAGGCAGGCAATCAGAATGGAAGAGATCCAGAGTCGTACTGCTGGAACGGATGGAAAGGACTAGTTTCCATACCAATCCTTGCTACCTATTAGCTATGTAGCATGCCTCTTGAAAGTGCTAACGTTCTCATTCTAGGGGTCTTTCTTAAACTCGAAAAAACCTCGTAAAGCTCGTAAAAGAACTGCCAAAATTTGTATGGAACTCTATTTACGAGCCCTCGTAAATTTACGAGGCATATTTGATGCGCAAACGACCTCGTAAATTTCATTGTTGCCGAGGGCCGAAATTTTTAAACTGAAATGTATGATAAAATAATTAAAATAAATGAGAAAAATAATACGTGAAAGTGAATGAATGAATTTCATCCCCTAACTGTATTGAATTAGGTTTTCTGCTAATTTTCGGCAATTTCGATTGTATTTTAGCCAAGAGTGCCAGAGACAAGATGGCGGGATGTTATGGAAATACTATGAAACAAAAATTGCTTCACAAAATCCTGGTATATCCATCAAACAGTCACTTTACGGCCCGTCTCCACAGGCAAAAGTTTTTGCCTACCAACTGTCATTTTGATTGCCTGATAAAAATTTTATCAGAGGCAATATTTGTGCGTGGGCATTTTTTATCTTGATAAAAGCATTTGTAGGATGGCTATTTTTGCCGGATTTCATCACTTAAAAAACTTAAAAAATATGCTATTTCACACCTATCAAATAATAACAAATATATTAATAGGAAACAGCTCAATTTTTGCTTTTATATTGAAATATCAATAATGTTGTCTCCACGAAGCTATCGCGCAAATGAAAATGTAGCAATATTTATCAAGATAAAAGCTCTGATAATTATTGCTTGCCAAGAGCAATATGCGGTCTCCATGGGTACAATTTTGCCTGATAACATTATCAAGATAAAAACTTTTGCCTGTGGAGACAGCAAGTTACACCATTTCGCAAAGCGGGCGTTCCCATATAAACTTACGAGTTTTACGCGGTTTAAGACTTTACGATTTTAAGGGAATCCCCTAACTGTTTTATTTGCGCTAGTAGCTCGTTAAAGCATTTTAATCCTTTATAGAAGATATTTTTCTTGTCAACTTCCGTTTTATATAGCGGGAGTCTGAAGCTGTTGTTTTCCCTCAGTAAGGATGAATGAGTTTCAATAGTAGTTGCGTTCCCTAACTCCCAAGTTGCAAGAATTTACAGGATTTTGCCGGTAAGCGTTCCCGTACTCGGTTCTCTGGCAAAGTAGGGGAGAAATGGGAGAGTAAAATCGGCCCACTCTTTGACAGAAGTTGCAAGATTTTACAAAAACTTGTCCTTTTCAGTACAAAAATCTGTAGTTAACTGCCGATTCTGAGTTAACTCTGCACTGTGAATTGGGCCCTAAAAGTTATCGATTAATTTTTATATTTTTTATTAGAATTGAA